TTTTTTTATTTCTAGGCTGCATTAGCCTTAGGCTAAATCTGGTGCAATGCATTAAATGTTTTTATGTTTATGTTTTAATTGCACATTGTTCTAAACAAATAATTTCATTCATTCGTTTGGTTCCTATTAGTTGTAGTGAGCCTAATCATTTTTGTTGCATATGTTTGTGCGCCTGCAGACTGTCATCGGATGATTTCATCAAGACTCCCACCTCTGATCAGTTTGTAAAGAGTACTGTGAGAAAAGGACTCCTTCCAGAGATTTTGGAGAACCTGCTGTCTGCACGAAAAAGGTTTGAACTCTTTGGAGGAAAAATACAAATCAACATATTTAATGTGTATGACGGTAAAAGAAACAAAGTAATTATTGATGTAATGCTAACTTAAGGTATCATTTCTGTTCTCTCAGTAAATCATTACAGTATTTATTCATTTCATTTAACAAACAAAACACATTACATACAACAAAATAAAAATACAAATCACAAATTAAATGAAAGGTAGCAGAAAAAGAAAAAAAAATCTTATGGTTTCTGCCCCTTTTTCTCAAATGTATAAATTCAATCAAAAAGATCTTCAATTTCCAAAAACAAAAACTTACAAAAAGAAAAGAAAAACAATAAAGGTTTAATTCCTTCTTGAGCAGAAACAATTCATACATTTTACACAAACATATTTCTCCAACTAATTAACCTTTATCATTCTCTGAAATTAAACCAATAGAAAACTAACAACAGTCATCTTAGCTGTTAGCATTAGCTTCCGCAAATTTTTTTTATCTGTTTAGCAAGTTAGCATTAGCAGAGCTAGTTGTGCTCACCACTGCCCAACTTCTGTTCCAAGCACTGATTGTGCAAGATGTTTTACTTTTTTCTTTCTAGCTAATTTTAAAACTTTGCCAGGAAAAAAGAGACAAAAGATTCATGAGACGTTTTTAAGACTTTAAATGTAATAATTTCCTGTATTTACAGTAAAATAATTATGAATTAAACATCTATTTTACTACAAAGAGATGTTTAATTCATAATTTCCTGTATTTACAGTAAAATAATTATGAATAAAACATCTATTTTACTACAAAGAGATGTTTAATTCATAATTTCCTGTATTTACAGTAAAATAATTATGAATTAAACATCTCTTTGTAGTAAAATAGTGTAAAATATCCTTTAAACCCCTCCCCCTCCAGGTGGCACTGGCACTCCCCCAGCCAACGCCAGCCAGAAGGACACGGCCAAGCCGCGCTCCCTGAGGTTCACCTGGTCCATGAAGACCACCTCGTCCATGGAGCCCACGGAGATGATGCGCGAGATCCGCAAGGTGCTCGACTCCAACAGCTGCGAGTACGAGCTGCGCGAGCGCTACATGCTGCTCTGCATGTCTGGCAACCCGGCGCACGACGACTTCGTCCAGTGGGAGATGGAGGTGTGCAAGCTGCCGCGCCTCTCCCTCAACGGCGTGCGCTTCAAGCGCATCTCGGGCACGTCCATCGCCTTCAAGAACATTGCCTCAAAGATCGCCAACGAGCTGAAACTGTGAGCGGGAAACGGGCTGAGATGATGCTGTCAGGTGGGCGGGGCGTATGTGGGGGGGGCGGGGCAATATGAGGTAAGCTAAAGATGATTGTTTTCGAGACTAAAGTCTGAAAGTTGGGGCTGCCGGTTCTGAGACTACAAAGCGTTCTGATCCGTACGGAGACTCAGAGCTGACCAGACGGTGGTCTTCTCTCTACCCTGCTGGGGGCGGGGCTTCTGTCTAAGACGTTCCACTCTTCTGCATGTCCGATCTTCTCTCTGTATTTTTTATTTTATTTTATTTCAGGAGTCACACTTTGATCACTTGGACCACTCCAGTTTTTCCTCCTATTTATTCAGTTTCCCTGCACGCCTCTGCCGTCGCCTCTTTTGTTTTTGTTTATCCAGTGGGAGGGGTCGAGGTGAACTTGTTCCCATTCTGATCGTCCTGAAACGTGAACGGACTCCAGCTGAGCCAGGACTTCAGTCGCTGAAGCACACACACACACACACACACACACACACACACACACACACACACACACACATAGTGACGATGGTTAAAACAAACTCTTATAGTCCTCCTCACCCTCTCTCCTTCGGCCCTTGAACTCATCATCCTCTTCAGCACAAACACATTTTTCACCTTTTCACTTCTTTTTTTTTTTCATTTTATTTCTCACCATCAAGTCCATGGAGGCCAGTCTGACTTGATGTCACCATCGACCGTGCAGTCTTTACTTTTGTACTGTTGTTTTTTGTTTTTGTTTATTTTATAGCTTTTTTTAAAGAGTTGTGCACTGGAACAAGAGGGGCATCTTTGAACCTTTATGGAAGAGATTCCTGTTGGATTTTATGTTGCCTTTATTTTTGGGGGGGAAAAATTCGGGGTAAGAGTTTTTTTTTTTTTTTGTACTTTCTTCAAACCGTTTTTATTTTTCTCTCCTGATCTTTGTTGGTTCGACTCGCATCACGCCTTCAAATCCAGAACCCGACTCGTCCCCCCATCCCCCACTTTTTTTGTTACACATCCCAAGAAGCAAACTCAAAGATTTATTATTATTATTATTATTATTATTATTATTATTATTATTATTATTAGAGAAAAACAAAAGATCACTGGAAAGAAATAGACAAAAAAAAAACAACAATTGACGATGAATGGTGAATTATTTTCCTGATTCTATATTTTTGTGTTGTTTAAATTTTGGGGTTTGTACAGATTATTTGGGGGGGAGGGGGTGTCGGATCATCGCTGCCTTCTTTTTGTTAATTTAATTTTTTTTTTTAGTTTATTTGGTGTAATGCACCTTTAACTCCCCACTCCAATTTAACACCAACTCTCCCCTCAAAGTGTAGGATTGTTGATCTATTTAATGATGATGATGGTGGTGGTGGCTACTGCTGATTAATTTTTTTTTGGTGCCTTTTTTTATTATTTTTATTTACTTAATTAAAGGCCTTGTTGGTCCAGAATGGCTTGAAGCAGAGAGAGAGAAAAGTTTTTTTATTTTTTATTTTTTGGTTTCTCTCGTATCAGAGCACTCGTTCACACTCCAAACCCCCGAGCAGAAGAGGAGGAGGAGCTTTTTGTTGATGCTGAAGAAAAAAAACTAAATTAGTAAAATAAAAATACAAAGAGGGTCAAACAAAGCCTGTCAGTTAGTCGTACCTAACTCAACACTTTTCTTTCTTTTCTCACATCGACACACTGTTTTTGTTTTCTTTTAGGTTTTTATTCCGTCAGGATTTTTCTTTAAAGAAATCATTGTTTTTACGGTGCTGGGTTTTGGATTCAAATTATTATTATTATTATTATTCAGGCTGTTGCTGTTATGTTATCTCTTTCAGGGTTGATTTTATCTTATCTTTATTTTTGTTTTTTTTTTTTTTGTTTTACATTGCTGTAATTTACATTGATTTTAAATGTGTTTTGAGCAAACTGTAACTGTAGTGGTGTTTTTTTTTTTTTTCTCGTTTATTTTATTTTTTCCGGGGGTCGGGAGGGATGATCAACTCCTTTAAAAAAATGTATTATTCTTTTTTGTGCAAAGACAAAATGATGAAAAATTACAATGATAGTAATAAAACAATGATATAATAATGATGGTCGGTTTACAAGTCGTTTTCTGATCGCAGCGTTTTGATTTATAATGGACTCCAGTGAAGAACCACGAGGGCCTCACAACGCACAGAAGAAAAAAAATAACCGTTTGTGGTTCAGATGAGACAAATTGTTTTGTTTTTGTGCTATGGTACCAACAAATTGATCCAAATGCTCCAGGCTGCTCTAGAAGTGCTACAGCTAGCTGCTGCTAATCCTATTTGCACATGCAAATAACTCAAATGTAAAACTGACATAGTAAAGGTTTGGAAAATCATGGTTGTGCAATGGCCACTAACATCTATTTTCCACTCAGACTAGCAGTTAGCTCGCTAATAAAGCTAGCATAAGACTTTCTACAAACTCAAAAAGCAATCTGTGACAGGTAAAATATTGTTTGTTCATATTGTCTCCACAGAACCCCACTTCAAGGACTTGATTTATTTTCTGTTAGCATATTGTGAACCACTAGACTAAATTTAATCAGCGATGAACCCAGCTTACCAAAAGCTTAGGTTAACCACTAATCTGCTAAAGAAGAATCCTAGCTTTGCTAAACAGAAGCTAACCCTAATCGCTAGGACAACAACTGCCTGTCTTCATCTCCTTCCAGTTGAAAACTAGTGGAATTGACACAAATTGTTAGTTGTCTGTTGGTTTAATTTGAAGGTGGGTGACAAATGGGCTAATCCAAACCAGAGTTAAAGGGTTTACCCCTTTCAGAATAAAAGCGTTTATTTGTTCGAGTTTGTATTATTTTTATTAATACCAACAAATAGCAATTACTTTACCACATTTTATAGTCGGTTTTCATATTTTTTATTTAAATATTAAGTGTTATTGCTTTTTGACGCTCTTAGTTTGAAGTTTAGCCGCTAAACAAGCTATCAAATGTTTCCATCATTAGCAAAAAAGCTAATCTGCTAAACGAGAAACTAGTTTTGTTATTAGCAGAATTGTGTCCTCTGCTCCTAATTTTTGAGTGAACTAGTTGTACAATTGGCTTATTTTTTAAATCAACCAAAACTTAAAGAAAACCCAACCAATGCTGAGCTAAAACTATGAGGTAAGGAAACTATCATTAACAAATCGATCTTTGTTCCATGCATAATGTCTGTTATTTTGACAGCTCCTCAGGGTAGAATTGTACTTTTAAATTTGTGATTTGTACTTGTAATGTTGCAAAGTTTTAACTTTTAAACTTGTATTCTCACAGAAAACATTTTGATTTTACATTACTACAAATACAAATCTAAAATTTATGCAAGTTTATTGACTTAAACGTACAAATTTAGACACTACACATACAATTCTTTATGACAGTTATCTTACCCCATATAAAACTAGGTGTGGTAGTATCAGAGTATTGACCAGGTCCCCCTTTAGCTCACAGGTAAACAAAGTCAAGTTTGTTTACTTCACCTGAAATACAAACCTTTTAGAAAACAGAAAGCAACCAAACATTTGGATCTTTTTTTTTTATTCTAAAATGTATTATTTTTAACAGAATTGGTTCTGTCACCACAGTGTGAACAACTTCTCAAAAACATAAAGGATGCACAAAATAATTATTTTTTTTCTTTTTTTTACTCAAAGCTGCTTCAAACTGAACAGTTTATATAAAAAACAAACATCTGCTCAGAAAAAGAAATTGGTGAAACAACTGGATAAAGATGAGACACTAACTGCCTTATAAACAAGTTTAACGTCACGACCTCGAGAAGACTTAAATAAAAGAAGACGAGACGCTGCGTTTCCTACTGGTTTACTGGCTGATTTATCACGTGGTTACAGCAGAAAGTTAATTCAGGTGACCTTTGACCTCTCACACCTCCTGGCTTTGGGATGAAGGCCGAACTGATGAAGCTAAAACAAGATGTTTCTTAAAGTTTAAATTTATTCACTGTGAAACAATCAGACCCAAGGCTGGCTCTGCGTTCTGGGGTGGATTCTAAAGTCCTCCCTTACAGAGACACACACATCTGTGTTTTCATGTTTAATTTGTATCTAAGAGAGTTGAAAGTAAAAAAAAAAAAACTTGGATCATTTGTTTTCTAATGTACATTTTTCTCGTTCCACAGTTTTTGTGCCATTCCAACCATTCATATATAAACGTTCAGCTCCTTCAGGATATTTCTGAGTTATTTTATCAGTTTAGACTTTGATATATTTTTTGTTCTAATTGAGAAGTAATGTAGTTTTATTTAATGTTTAAAATAGTTAAACCTCTCCTGCACTTTAAACCTTTTATTCTTTCTTTTTACTTTGTTCTTATTTCAGCCCTTTTTTTGCAAATAAGAGTTTTTCTGCTGTTTCAGCTGTCTTTCTGTTCTTTCCAGCAATTCTAAGTTTTTTCCCTTTATGCTAATTATTTTTGATTTTCAGCTGTTTTCTGCAATTTAAGCTAATGTCAGCATTTTCAGCTAAAATCGCATTTTTGTGATAATTTTAGCTACTTTTTCAGTTGCTTAATTCAGCAAATGTATGCTTTTTCTGCATCTTTGTGCTAGTTTTAGCTTTTTCTGCTACTTTTCCTCCATTTTACAGCACATTGCTAAGTTTTTGCACATCTTTTTCTTTTTTGTCTGCAAAACATTTTTAGCATCCACTGCATTTTTGCAGAAAAAAAATTTTTTTGAAAGGAAAGCTGGTCCAGACGGTCTTTGTAGAAAACGGACTTGTTGAGTCCTGTACGAGGTGTAAGAGGTCAAAGGTCAACCTTAAATCCTCCACATGTGAGGGTTCAGTTCAAGACAGGAGCAGCCAGTGTTTCATCACTGAAAATACCTGAAAATAAAATAAACTCAAGTCCAGTCACAGGTTTTATTTTGGCTCTTTTAGTGCTCGATCAATGATTCTAAATAACGAAGCACGATCTAAACTACGTACAGAAACTAACAGTCAATAAAACGTTACTCCAGGTAAGACTAGGAACACATGGCTATGACCCGAGAGGAAGAGGAGTTCTCTGCCTCTTCCTTTTGTTTTCGTTTATTCATTAATTATTCGCAGATCTTTGAGGATCTGAAGCTCAGAAGAAAAGCCGGTTCTTCAGGTGAACCTGCAGGAAGCAGGCTGGGCTCAGACACGAGCAGCTTCATTACATTTTCTCTCCTTTGATCCTCCGCCTCGATCCAGGTGTGTGTGTGTGTGTGTGTGTGTGTGTGTGTGTGTGTGTGTGTGTGTGTGTGTGTGTGTGTGTGTGTGTTGGAGGTAGTGTGTGTTACAGTAACGGGGTGATCTGAAATGACCAACGTCACCTTCAGGACCTGAGCGATCATGTGACCCAGTAACTCCAGGTAAAAGTGACGTCGATGCTGCGTTGATCAGTGAGAGCTGGGCTGCTCCACTTTGATCCCCACCAGCGATGGAGGCAGCTGACCTGCAGAGGAGGAGGAGGGAGGAGAACCCCTGAGACTGGAGGAGGAGGAGGAGGTCACTGCGGGCCTGATGAGCGGAGGGGGAGGGTGGTTGTGTGGAGCTCGGTTCTGGAGCGGTCGTGTCTGAAGAGGAGGCGGCTGCCGGAGGAGGCTGGGAGGCGCAGAGGGCGGAGCCGGGCGCAGCAGAGGAGGAGGCTGAGAGAGGGAGGAGGAGGAGGTGTGGAGAGAGGAGGGAGGAGAGGAGCTGCTGCTGGCCGTGTCGGGAGGAGAGTCCTCCATCTTAACCTGAAGAGACAAAAACAACTGGTCAGAACCAGAACCAGAACCAGAGTCAGATTAATGTTCTTCCTGTCTACACATTAAAGGGTTAAAATATTTAAGCATAATTAAACATCCTGAGTCCTCACCTCCTCCTCCTCAGCTCCTCCATCTGCAGCAGCCCCCACCTCCTCGCTGCTCCTCCTTAGGTCTCTCTGGTCCCGGTTGGTGGCCACCTGCTCGGCCGCCCACTCCCTCAGTACCTCGTCCAGGTTGAAGCGCCGCCGGTAGCTCACGAAGAACGAGCTGACCTGAGCGAGCGGACAGAGGTGAAGTTAATGAGGACCGCGCTGCGTTCAAGGACCGCGCTGAGTTCAAAGACTGTGCTGCGTTCAAAGACCGCGCCGCGTTCAAAGACCGCGCTGCGTTCAAAGACCGCGCTGCGCTCCAGGACCGCGCTGCGTTCAAAGACCGCGCCGCGTTCAAAGACTGCGCTGCGCTCCAGGACCATGCTGCGTTCAAAGACCGCACTGCACTCCAGGACCGCGCTGCGTTCAAAGACTGCGCTGCGTTCAAAGCCCGCGCTGCGTTCAAAGACCGCGCTGCGTTCAAAGACCGCACTGCGTTCAAAGACTGCGCTGCGCTCCAGGACCATGCTGCGTTCAAAGACTGCGCTGCGTTCAAAGCCCGCGCTGCGTTCAAAGACCGCGCTGCGCTCCAGGACCGCGCTGCGTTCAAAGACCGCGCTGCGCTCCAGGACCGCGCTGCGTTCAAAGACCGCACTGCGTTCAAAGACAGCACTGCGCTCCAGGACCGTGCTGCATTCAAAGACTGCACTGCGTTCAAAGACTGCACTGCGTTCAAAGACCGCGCTGCGTTCAAAGACCGCGCTGCGCTCCAGGACCGAGCTGCGTTCAAATCCAGGACCGCGCTGCGTTCAAAGACCGTGCTGCGTTCAAAGACTGCGCTGCGCTCAAAGACCTCGCTGCGTTCAAAGCCTGCGCTGCGTTCAAAGACCTCGCTGCGTTCAAAGACCGCGCTGCGTTCAAAGACCGCGCTGCGTTCAAAGACCGCGCTGCGTTCAAAGACCTCGCTGCGTTCAAAGACCTCGCTGCGTTCAAAGCCTGCGCTGCGTTCAAAGACTGCGCTGCGTTCAAAGCCCGTGCTGCATTCAAAGCCCGCGCTGCGCTCCAGGACACCACAGAGCACAGGAGACTAATGACTTCAGGACAGAGGGGGGGCTGAGAGCTGAGGTCAGAGTAAGAAATGCAGGAGGCTCACCTGAGCTGCAGTTTTCGTGCCGATCACCTCAGCGATGGCTGTGAAGTCTTTACCGTAGCGACGGATGGCTGGAGAGGAGACAGGAGGTTGTCTTTACTCACACGTCTGACAGAGACGCCGTTTACAGTTAACCTAAATCTGATGCAGCTGCTCCCAGCAGACCTGACCTGCTGCAGAAACAAGGACACGGCTCACAGCTGGAGGAGGAAGCTGCTTTCTGCTCAGGCCTCTGACAAGTTTAAAGCTCCAGGCTTCTTTAGCTCTTTGGTTCCAGACTCATTTAGATGGTGCTTAAGAGACGTATCACTTGCCATATTTGTGGGTGCTAATGTGAGAGGTTAGCATTATTTACATAGCAGTACCAGGGTTTCCTCCAGTGTATTATAGCCCTGGTGGTCCAACAGTCCTTAACCCATCAGGCTAAACATCAAAGACATTTAGAGCCAGAGTCAGCAGGTTCTTTGTTTTTAGCATCATTGAGAAAACAGGATAACTAGCTAGGACCTAGCATTAGCAATGTAGCATTAGCAACTTTAACTGCAAAGATTTTGTGGTGGGCACAGTTCCCCTAAAGCACTAAAGCACTAATAGGGAAACAAATTTCCTGATTGGTGCTTTAGGGCTTTTGCTAATTTTAAAATTTATTTGTGGATTAGCACTTGCTAAATTTATGTGCTAAATTTAGAAGCGCTAACTGAGGTATTTAAATGTTATTGATCAACATTAATGTTAACAGCTGACATGAAAGTTGTCGCACATTTTCTTCAAATGTGTCACTGATCCACCAGGTGATAACATATGAACCCAAATACAGCTGTGGAATGTCAATGATAAATATTAAGAGATAAAAATGGCAACATGTGACTCATGTTGTCTGTTGAACAATGTTCATGAGTTGACTGGATTATTTTAGTGCTTTAGAATTAGCTTTCGCTAAAACTTTCTGTGCATTAGTGCTTTAGAATTAGCTTTCGCTAAAACTTTCTGTGCATTAGTGCTTTAGAATTAGGGGATCTAAATATTTGAGTTAGTGTTTTAGAGCTAGTGGAACTAATTTTTAGATTAGTGCTGCCCACCAGTGGAGTTTACTCAATCCAAGCTAAAGCTATAATCTCAGAGCAGATTTGACTTTAGCGTCATGGTTTATGACAGTAGTGTGGGGTGTTCTGTTAGCATCTAGCTGCCTCATTCAACTTTTTAATTATTTTTTGTAGCTAGCTTTTGAGGTTCCTTCATACTGGTTTCCTAAGCTATATGCTAGCCCACAAACATGGCACGGCCTGTAAAAATAAAGTACCTGGATGATGACGTCACTTAAAACTATCTATTTTAAGATATTCTGCCTTTGGGTTTGTTTTTAAATAAATGATCCATTTTTTTCCTATTTTGTTTTCCGGAAATTACTGATAAATGTGTCCCATCTTATCAAAATGAGGATTAAGTCAAATGTGGTCAAAATGACCTAATTACATTTTCAGATTTCTGGCTTTAAAAGCTACATTTTGATACCTGGATTATTCTGATAGCATCAGTTTATTCAGAGATATGGACTTCATTGGTCTTGTTGGTTATGATAATACATCACTGTTTGGTCTGAATCCTACTTTTATGTAAATTTATTGAGTAATTTTTGATGTTAATATAAAGAGGAAACCTCAAATAGTATTTGTATATTAAGATTTCCCAGTTGTAAAGAAACAAAAACATTTCTAGCTCACAGGGAAAAAAATTCAAAAATTTAAGGCGTTTTTCCTCAAAATCAAGTTTTTTGTTGCTACTGCTCAAAAAGGTGCTTCAAAAATGTTTTTTAGGATTATATTTTAGTTCATTCAAATGATACATTGATAAAGGCATTTATTCATTATATTCTGACAAAATGCAATTTTTGCACACGTTTAAATCAAAACCCTATATCTGCCTGTTTCTCCACATTTCACTTTTGGACTTAATCCTCGTTTGGATGTGACGGGTCACAAATATCGTGCTGTTGAACGAGAGTAAAACACACAAAAGTCACTGAAACAACTCTAAACTGAAACTAGTCCCTGTCTGTATTTCCTCACACTCATTTAGACTTTGCTCTCCTTTAATGAGTGAACTCTAAACAACCTTGAACATGTTGAAATGTGTCTGAACAGCAGTGTAAGTCCTGTGTGGAGAATGTGAATGTGTCATCTGACAGGAGGAGGAGGAGGAGGAGGCTTCTACTCACCCTGCACAGCCAGGAGCTGCTCCTCAGTGGTCCAACGCGAGTTCATCTTCGGAGCGGGCTGAAAGAGAGACGGACAGAAGTGAGAGGTGAAGAGGAGCGCCACGTGAGGCGATGGAGAAGTGACACCTGCAGGCTGTCGAGGCAACAACACAGCAGATAAATGGAGGAGGGGAGGGAGCGAGAGCAGGACGGATGATGAGTAAACAGAGGAAACAAAAATCAATGAGGTAACAGATGGAGAGGAGGGAAACTCACCTCAGAGGGTTTGAAGGCGTCGACACCTTCAGTCAGGCTCTGCTTCAAACTGCTGTTGGTCTGTTTAACAGACTGAACCTGAGAGAGGAGCAAACAAACAAAAAGAAGGATATTACGGCAAAATAAAGCTTTATAACATGGAGTTAGCACTAATAGAGCTGGACAGTGTGCTGGTTTAAACAACCTGATCATGTTCACATCATGCCCACCACAGAGGACCCTTCTCCTCGCAGCACAGCTGAAAGTGCAGCCAGGAAGTAGACCTGGAGCAGCCGGCTGTACAAATTCAGGAGCTGCATCCTTCAAAGGACACAGCCTACCTGGTCTACATGGTTAGGCTGTCAACCGTGAAGACTGGAGTAAAGTGAGTGTTTGGACGATTTAGCCTTCAGCTTTATTCCAACGCTAAACAAAAGTAACCAAGATTGAAATTAGCAAAATATTTATATATTAATATTATAAATCAGCTTAGAGGCAACACATGAAGAATGAAGGGACCGGCCATATAAACTTGTTTACAATGATGTCTGACAAGAATATAAAAAAACATGTCTAACCCAAACAACCACTTTAAACTTTAAATTTTTATACTGACAAATTTTATTTAAAACTGTACTCCAGTCTCTCGACTCATCTGTCAACTTGGGATAAGGTGGGCTAAGAAGGCTACAGTGGCTGTGTCCAAAACAGCAGGCTGGGTCCTCTGAAGGCCGAATTCGTCGGCCGCATACGTCACAGCGCCGCGACGAAGGCCGCCCAAAACCGAAGACTCCTCCAATGCGGCCGACGAATTCGGCCTTCAGAGGACCC